TGGGTTTTGCGAGGGTTTACGAGGGTTTTGCGAGGGTTTACGAGGGTTTAGTGGTTGGGGTTTTTTCGAGGGTTTTGGAAAGGGGTTTTGAGCGGTTTTTGAGGGTTTTGGGAGGGTTTTGAGGGTTTACCCGGGACTTTGTCCGAACCCTTTTTTAGTCCCTCTTTTAGGGTTTTGCGAGGGTTTACGAGGGTTTTGCGAGGGTTTACGAGGGTTTGCGAGGGTTTGGTGGTTGGGGCTTTTTCGGGGGGTTTGGAGAGGGTTTTTGAGCGGTTTTTGAGGGTTTTGGGAGGGTTTTAGAGGTTTTTGGGAGGGTTTTGAGGGCTTTGGGAGGGTTTTGAGGGTTTAGTCCGAACCCTTTTTTAGTCCCTCTTTTAGGGTTTAGCACTTCTTGAGAAGGGTTTGCGAGGGTTTACGAGGGTTTGGTGGTTGGGGTTTTTTCGAGGGTTTTGGAAAGGGGTTTTGAGCGGTTTTTGAGGGTTTTGCGAGGGTTTTTGAGGGTTTTGCGAGGGTTTTGAGGGTTTACCCGGGACTTTGTCCGAACTCTTTTTATTCCCTCTTTTAGGGTTTAGCGAGGGTTTACGAGGGTTTGGTGGTTGGGGTTTTTCGAGGGTTTTGGAAAGGGTTTTGAGGGTTTTTGAGGGTTTTGGGGTTTAATGGGCGTTTTGAGGGTTTATTTGGAGTTTCTTAGTCCGAATTTGCTGCTTTTTCTTTCTTCCAATTTAGGGTTTTGAACTTCCTATAAGAGGGTTTCGTTAGGGTTTATGAGGGTTTAGGGTTTAGGGTTTAGGGTTTACTTCGAGGGTTTTGAGGGTTTCTTCTGAGGGTTTTGAGGGTTTCTTTTGAGGGTTTTGGAGGTTTCATCTGAATCCAGATTTGGGACCTCTTTAAAAGGGTTTTGCTAGGGTTTTGCTAGGGTTTTGCTAGGGTTTTGCTAGGGTTTTGCCAGGGTTTTGCTAGGGTTTTGCTAGGGTTTTGCTAGGGTTTAGAGGGGGGTTTATTGGGGGTTTTTTAGGGCTTAGTTGGGGTTCTTTTGGACTTTCTGGGGTTTATTGGGGTTTAGTTGGGGGTTTTGGGGTTTTGTTAGGGTTTAGGGTTTAGGGTTTGTCTTTAGTTAGGGTTTAGTGGCGTTTCTTATTTGGTGCTTGTCCCGGATTTTCTGGGTTTTTGGTGACGCTACACTTGCTGCTGCTGCAGCTGCTGCTGCAGCAGCAGCTGCTGCTGCTGCAGCTGCTGCTGCAGCTGCAGCTGCTGCTGCTGCAGCGATCAAACAGTCTTGCAGTTTGCTGCTGCTGCTGCTGCTGCTGCTGCTGCAGGAACTGTACCACCCCCCCAGGTCTTCTTATTTAAACAACATTGATGGAGCTTTCTTTGGATCTTCTGTTGCTTCTCTTTTCTTTATGGCATATCCGCAGTTGCTGCCATCTCGTTTGCCCCTGGGGGGCCCCCTGGGGGCCCCCGGGGGCCCCCAGCGCAGCAGCAGCAGCAGCAGCAGCAGCAGCAGCGGCGCTGCGGAGAAAGAGGCCGACGCCGCGGCCGCAGGCAGGAGAGACGCCCCCGGCAGCAGCAGCAGCAGCAGCAGCAGCAGCAGCAGCAGCAGCAGCAGCAACCCCGTTTACTATGTGCCCCGGATTTTCGGGTTTAAGGTCCACCCAGACTTTCGGCAGCTAATATTGGAGAGGGAAGAACAAAACAGGAAGCGACAAGCCATGCTTGCTGCTGCTGCTGCTGCTGCGCCTGCAGCAGCAGCAGCAGCAGCGCCCGAGCAGCAGCAGCAGCAGCAGCAGCAGCAGCAGCAAGAAAGCGACAAGTGGTACGCCCCAGGTACTGGGGGGGCCTCCCCCAGAGGAGACCCCAGGGGCTCGGGGGGCCCCCAGGGGCCCCTGGGGGCCCCCCGTCAGGGGCTTTCCCTCAGGAGTTGAGTTTGCTGCTGCTGCTGCTGCTGCAGCAGCCGCTGCTGCTGCTGCTGCTGCTGCTGCGCAAGGAGAGAAACAGCGGAAAGAGCCCGAAGCTAGCAGCAGAGGGAGAGCAGCAAAAGGAAACAAAAGGAGAAAAAGAAACTTGTGAATTTGCTGCTCGTGGCTGTGGGCGCAGCAGCAGCAATGGAACCAAGCCGATTACTTTACTTACTTTTGCTGCTGCTGCTGCTGCTGCTGCTGCTGCTGCTGCTGTTTGTTGAAAGGCAGAAGAGACAGCTCGAGAGAGGTCCCCGAGGGCTTTAGGGTTTAGGGTTTAGGGTTTAGGGTTTGGGGTTTTGAAGGGCTCTGGTAGGGTGTAGGCTTCAGTAGGGCTTTTACTAGGGTTTAGGGTTTAGTAGGGTTTAGGGCTTAATAGGGTTTAGGGTATGGTAGTAGAGGGTAGCGGCTGAGCAGCAGCTGCAGCAGAAGCAGCAGCTGCAGCAGCAGCAGCAGCTGCTGCTGCAGCAGAAGCAGCAGCTGCAGCAGCAGCAGCAGCGAGAGCTGCTGCAGTGTGTGTGCTGGTAGGCCTCTGGCTGCTGCCATCTCTTGGCACTTTGTAGCGAAGCAGCAACAGGGGGTTTAGGGTTTAGGGTTTAGGGTTTAGGGTTTTCTACTTTTCGATAATAGGCCTCTCGGCTTCTTGGGCCCTGGCCCTCCCCATCACAACTCTGCAGCGTCAGCAGCAGCTGCTGCAGCAGCAGCAGCCGCTGCAGCTCCAGTAGCGGCTGCTGCAGCAGCCGTTGCTGCAGCAACAGCTGCAGCAACAGCAGCCGCTGCAGCAGCAGTGCCCATGGCGGCTGCAGCAGTGGGGCCCCTGGGGGCCCCCTGGGGGCCCCCAGGGGCCCCCCAGGGGGCCCCGCGGCAGTTCGCAGCAAAGGCAGTTCTTCCGGGAAAGGGCAGCAGCAGCTGCTGCTGCTGCTGCAGTTGCTGCTGCAGCAAAGTAAGTTTCGCGTCTGCATTAGGGTTTTGGCCTTCCGAGGCCCTCCCTGGGCGGCAAAATAATAAAATAAGTAATTAATTGCAAGTAAAAAGAATAAATTAAATAAAGTGCAAACAAAAAGAATAAATTAAACCAAAAAGTCCTTTAGTTGCTGCATCGGTGCAGCGCTTGCCGTTCTTGAGCTGAGGTGTATGTACACCTCAGCATTTGTACACCCCAGCATTTGCCGCCGCCTCTGCAGGTCCGTTTGCTCTTTACAATTCATTTAATTTGATTTATTTTAATTTATTTAATTAAATAAAACAAATATATTATTTTAAAGTGCTGCAGACCCGAAAATGAGCGCCTTAAAGGCCAGAAGTTTGCATGCGGGTCGAAGTTCAGGTGTACGTACACCTGGATTTCGCCGCGTCTTTATTTGCTTTTTCGCGCATTTTTTGCTTCACTTCTTCGCCATTTATTTCTTCATTTACAACTAATTAATTAATTAATTTATTTATTCAAACTATATCCTCTTAAATGCTCAAAAATGCTTCTCTCCACATAAAAAATACATATATATAACTGTCTGGGTGAGTGGGCGCTTGCGTATGGCTAGCTAGCCGCAGCAGCAGCCAGCTAGCTGCAGCAGCAGCTAGCTAGCTAGCTGCAGCGGCAGCTAGCTAGCTGCAGCAGCTAGCTAGCTAGCTACAGCAGCAGCTGGCTAGCTGCTGCTAGCCAGCTGGCTGCAGCTGCTGGGGCCCAAACCCCCAGCAGCTCTGTAAGCAGGCCCCAGGAGGGCCCGTGCTGGCGCCGCAAGCCTAGGGTTTAGGGTTTAGGGTTTAGGGTTTAGGGCTTGGTAGGGTTTAGGGCTGGGGAGGGTCTCCGCGGGTTTAGGGTTTAGGGTTTAGGGTTTAGGGTTTGGGGGAGACGCTTTTGTGCTTTTGCGGCATCGAAGCAGCTGTGAGCAGTGCTCAACGCGTTTTGGCTGCTGCTGCTTTTGCTGCTGCTGCTGCTGCTGCTGCTTTTGCTGTTGCTGCTGCTGCTGCTGCTGCTGCTGCTGTCTTCTGGGGTGTTTGCTCCCGCGTGGGGATTCCCCGTGTCGTGTGCAGCAGCGACAGAGTTTTATTTTAAATTGGTAGCTGCTGCTGCTGCTGCTGCTGGCAGCAGCAGCAGCCGCCGCCGCAGCAGCAGCGACGGCAGCAGCAGCTGCTGCGGCGACAGCTGCTGGAGCAGCAGCAGCAGCAGCAGCAGCAGCTGCTGCTGCTGCTGCATGTGCCCCTTGCCCCTGCGTCTTTGAGCCTTAGAGACAAAAAAATACTAAAAAGAGAGCAGCTTTATATTAAGAAAAGAAAGAAGCAGCAATTGCTGCAGCAGCAGCTGCTACACTCTAGGCCCTCTCGGCCTTGCCCTCCCCGAGGGTTTAGGGTTTAGGGTTTAGGGTTTAGGGTTTAGGATTTGCTGCTCAGGGCTCAGCAGCCGCAGACCCCCGTTGCTCCGCTTTTTACAGTTGGCTCAGAGTGTGCTGCTGCTTCGAACGGGCCTCCTGCTGCTGCTGCTGCAGCCCCCGCGCAGCAGCAGCAGCAGCAGCAGCAGGAGCGGCTGCTGCTGCTGCTGCGTCTTACACGCTTTTGCTGCAGCCAAGGCAGCCTCGAACTTCCCTCTTTGTTGCAGCGGGCCCTAGCAGCAGCAGCTGCTGCAGGGGCCCCCCGTCTGCCCCTCACTGCAGCAGCAGCAGCAGCAGCAGCAGCAGCAGCAGCAGCGAACACCGGAGAAGCAGCAGCAGCAGCAGATGCAGTGCGCTAGTAGCGGCCGGTGCTGCTTCTTCACCCTGTAGCAGCTGCTTAACAGCAACGACTGCAGCAGCAGCAGCAGCAGAAGCTCGAGGCACTGGAGCGGCTGCACAGGAGGCCTGCAGCAGCAGCAGCAGCAGCAGCAGCAGCAGCAGCAGCAGCACGCAGCTGCAGCAGCAGCAGTCGCAGAGTCCCAGTAGCAGCTGCTGCTGCGCTCAAGGCGAGCGCAATGCGACCTGCATGTCTGCCTCCGCCAGCTGCCCCGGTCTTTTCGTAGTTGCTGCTGCTGCTGCAGCAGCAGCAGCGCAGCAGCAGCAGCAGGAGCACGACGGCGAGTGTCGCAGCAGCAGCGACGGCTACAGCGCCGCCTCCGCGGCCTCGCTAGCAGCAGCGTCGGGCGCAACAGCAGCAACAGCAGCAACAGCAGCAGCAGCAGCAGCAGCAGCAGCAGAAGATGGCCACAGCCTCTCTCTCTGGAGCAGCTTTTGCCTGGGGGCCCCCTCGCTGCTGTCTTTGCCCACAACTTGTCCCTCGGGGGGCCCCTCGGGTTGTGGGGAGACCCAAAGCCCCAGGGGTTCGGATTTGGGGGCCCCCCCCGAGGGGCCCCCCCTGGAGGCAGCGGGAGAAGCAGCAGCAAGAAGGGCCCCCGCAGCAGCAGCAGCAGCAGCAGCAGCAGCAGCAGCAGCAGCAGAGCCGCTCTCCGAGGGCGCGGCGGACGAGGGGGCCCCTGGGGGGGGCCCCTTCGGGGGCCCCGTGGAGACGGAGAGGCCGGGGGGGCTGCTGCAGCGGCAGCACTCCGCTGCAGCAGCAGCGCAGCAGCAGCAGCAGCAGCAGCAGCAGCAGCAAAGCCACTTCTTGCGGCGGCCGGAGCGGCGGCTGCGCACAGAGCCCTCGAGGGCCCCCAGCAGCAGCAACTTCTTCATGCGGCTGATTCGGTCTTTGAGCAGAAGCAGCAACGACATGGCTGCTGCTGCAGCAGAGCAGCAGCAGCAGCAGCAGCAGCAGCAGCAGCAGGGTCGCCGCCACGCGCGCCGCATGGACTCCGCGACCAGCACGAACAGCATCAGCAGCAGCAACAACAGCAGCAGCAGCAGCAGCAGCAGCAGCAGCAGCAGCAGTTTGTCTTCTGTGAAGTGTTTGGCCCGCCGCTGCGTCCCCCGCCGGCTGGTCTACGCGGCCCCGGGGGCCCCCCTGGGGTGACTGTGGCTGCAATGTGTGTGACGGACATTGGGGGCATTCGCATAGACAGGGGCCCCCCCCCGGAGGTGCCTTTGGGGCCCCCGGGGGCCCCCCTGTCGGGGGCCCCCCCTTCCTGCAGCGGGAGCGGGGGCCCCCCCCCCTCGGGGGGCCCCCCCCCCTTGGGGGCC